TCCAATCTTCCCACTTCTCACCAGGAGGAACAACAGCAAAGGAAATAGGGAGCAAATATCCATCTCTATCCTGTGATGTTGCAATCAAGAGAGTTCCTATGTACTTCCCATAGAGATGAGTGCCGTCAATTTGAATAATAGGCCTGCAGGATTTGAATGCTTCAATGCATTGGTGAAATGTCAAAAAAAACCTATGAAATATGGCCCTATCGGTATAAACCTGACGTTCGTCAAAACATTGATTTGTATCAAGCTTGAACACAGAACCCACATTCACCTGCGTCATATACGTCAGCCAATTGGGCAAGAATCCATAGGATTTCTCCTAGTCACCATACAACTTGACAATGGCTTTCATTTTTGCCTTCCAAGCCTTCCTGTACGTTATGTTGTATCCATATATTCCTTGTATCCTCTCTTGTATCAGAACTGGTTTTGTAGCTGGATCTTCCTTTAACATATCTGTAAAAAAAAAACACAACTTTACCATATTCTCAATAGGAAGCTTCGTTAAGTACACGATAGAATACATACTCATAATAGCCGCACAAATGACATCTGAGTCCAACTGTCTATAATCCTGTGATAGGCCCTGATTCAGGCATGTGTGATCTTCACCCCATTTACAGACCACCCAATTAGCTTCCTTCTTGGGCTTGATTGCCCTCATATACCAGGGACAACCGTCAGCATGGTTTCTACATTTCATAACAAATCTTGACTCGTTACTTTTTTCAACTATGGCTGTCCTGCGCCCCTTCATACAATGTATCTTCACAGCATGTTGCATTTCAAGTTTGGAGCCAAATTCTTGTTGCACAAATAACGGATCTCCTAACTTCCAACCTCCGTTCAAGTCATCATCCCCATAGAGGACCTCCAACTCATCATTAGGGTGCGCCCAATTAATGAATGAATAATGTTGGCTTTCATTCCAAAATGGCTCTACCGCAGTCCCTGCATCTAAAGCTTCATCATTATTGTCTGAATCAATACCACCACAAAAAATTATTTTTAAAAGCAAATGTCTAAATTTAACAACTTACCACTACTGACAGGGTCAACATGAAGTGGTGACATGGCTGGGGTACCCAGGCTTACAACGCTCGTGTCAACATCAAAATTTACATCCACGTCAGTGTCTGACGAATCACCTTGTGGAATAGCACTTTCAGATTCTCCCTCATCTTCGCGGTCCACATACTCCTTATCTTCATCCTCTTCATCCTCATCCAATGTTACCTGAGCAGGTGCAGATGATCGTACAATTGTATCTTCCTGACCAGTACTGTGCGCAGTGGTTGTATGCACCGGTAACGATGAACACTGACCAGCATCAACTTCAACATATATCTCAATCATTTTTAATACTTTCCATCCAACATACGCATCTGTGACGAACTCCACATCTTCATCATCATTGATATCGTTACCAATGTAGTATATTGTATCCACATCCACTACAGTCTCTAACCTGGCTATCATGCGGTGGATGGATTAGATGCCTTTTGACCCCATTTTTTGAAGAATTCTCTCCTTCAGTTCATTGCATGTAGTGCCCACTTTGATTTTCATCGTTTTTGTTTTTCCTTCAAATCGGACACCGTTCGGACCTTCAAAATGCCTCCCATTGTAGTAAATAACTATAGGAACCATGTTAGAACTTGAACTCATCTTTCACACAAAAATTTGGATCTTGGTTCAGATTTTTTAACACAAAATGGGAATGTGGAGGTGTAATGCCAATGTCCTACAAAGATTAAGCTTTTTGAGATGATGAGATGAAGAAATAGAGATGTCAAGGGAGAGAGATTTGGGGGAAAAAAAAGTTTAACTCGCAACAATGGCCGAAACCCTTGATATTGGGGTTTCTGGCCGACTTCTACCCAGGTATCCCCCTCCATACCCGAGTAAATAATTCAAACTTTTTCTAGATTTAAGAACAATACCCGGGTATCCCCTTCCATACCAGGGTAGGGTTGATTTTTCAAAAAAATACCCGGGTATGGAGGGGTATACCCGGGTAGATTTCGTGGTCAACGGTCAAACAGAAGCAGATTGGTGTTATGTTTTTTGGGAGGGTTAATTTTTCAAAATAGTTTCTAATCGAAGGCAATTTGGTAAATAATTATTAATAAAGGGCTACAGTGGTCAAAAAACCTGCTACAGGAGATTTCCTTGACCCTCGTAAGCTAACATGGATTGCTAGTTATATTTTCACCTCTGCTGATGTGAAAGTTTAGACTTCTTTCTTCTTCTTCTTTTAAAAAAATATGCATGACGTAATCGGTTCAAATCTAAACTGACTGGGTTATTATCGATTTTCTCAAAAACTAACTGGGTCGAATCGGGTTACATTAAATTTACTATTTGGCCCGATTCAATATGAAAATCAGACCAATTATATGATCGATGTATAAGTTTTGGGTCAACCTGATCGGACCGATCCGCTTTTTTCAACACTAGTCCGTATATTCATGGTGGTTTTTGAGAAACCTAAATTTAAATATAAAATGAGAGTCCTTACTTTCTTTATATAATTAATCGATCATGAGGCGGCCCGTAAAATATTAAGACTGGACTGGAAGTCCTTACTTTAGTTGCTTTATGCCCTAACCAGCCTTGCGTATATAACTAAATATAATTATCTTATATTTTGAAGATTTTCCCTTCTTGATTTCTAGTTCTAGTCTCTCCGTTGGGTCGAACTATACCTATAAATCTATAAAATGTACAAAGCTAGAAGTTCAACAAACGCGTGTATTGAATGACAGATTCAATAGCATACTAAAATCGAGGTTTCATAGACTTGGTCGTTGTATAAGAACAATCGGGTAGATATACGAGATTATAAATGAACGATTAGATAAAGACTTTGTAGCTGTTCGATCACAGTTCACCTAATTAAAGTTCTTACGTAATGGCACTATATATTGTAGTCTGGTAGAAGTCAAAATTCAACCAAAGTATGTCAGTCTGCAGCAGGAGCAACACAGCTAAGCAAGAATGTAGAATATATCATCATCATCATCCGTTCATGGCAACATCCACATGTGGAGTTGATTTTTTATTGTGTGCGAACAATACATTGTGTACTATCTTAAACACTTATTACACTCTTTTGTATGTAAATAATGTTCTAAAAGACTAAAAGGAATATCATTACATATATAATGATGCCAAGTGAAGAAAGAGGAAGAAGAATAATTGAAGATAACACTCCATCAATATCATGTTATACCTAAAATGTTCATACAAATTTTCCAATTGTGGTCTATGGTAGGTAGTAACCCCCCTAGCTCAATCAGTGAGAGCAAAAGTGTGTTGATGACAATTATTATCTGGGTTTGGTACATGACAATTACTCTTATACTTAACAGGTATACAACCCCCCAACTTAAGAGTTCTTGAGTTCTTCAAAACCTCCCAAGTTTGAAAATTCCGGCTAACCTTAATTGCGTTGGATTTAGCTCTTTAGAGAGCACTTCCCAGTCAGCTAGGACAATACACAACCCTAGTTTGGAAGTTATTTAGAGCATCGTAATTATAACAATTTAGGCCAACATTATTTGGGTTGGGCTGATCTCAGCCATCATTACAATACAATTTTGATTTTATTTCATACAATGAGGGTTTTAATATTTATTGAAAATAAATATATTAATAATTCCATTTTGTATGAACAGAATAAGAAAATTGTCGAAATCACTCAAAAGTAAAACAATTTATTTGAGCTAAGCGTACCAATAAAAACTTTGAAAACATTAGCAAAGGATGCTTTTTTATATTTTGGTAAACATCAAAGGATGCTTTAATTGGAAGTACGGGACGAATACTCAAATCAATTTCACATTGAAAAAGAGTAAGAAATTTAACAAATTGTTAAAGCAAAATTATTTTACACTCATTTAATACTATATTTATCAAAAGAGTCAAAGTCTCCTTAAATAATAATCATGTAGATAATTTTTTAAATAATTTACTAATAATGATTGAAAAAATAATGCAAAGATATTTCTATAATAGTACAAAATCAAATCCTTAAAAATTGGAACTGAAGATAAACGATACAGATTAAAATAAAAAATAAATAATGCTACGTAAACAGTTGTCATATATTATTATTATATGATTACAATGGGGTGTGTCATATTGGCATGGGTACATTTTTATTTAGAGTTGGTTGGGTTGAATGAAAGGATTAATATTATTTAAGGTAGAAAACAAAACACCGACCCATGTTCCCTACGCGGCTGGTGCAAAGTTGGCACGCGCAGTAGAAGACCATGCAAAGTCAACACACCGACCTTCACTGCTGACTAAGTCCCAGTCAGCTCCGCATGCCCTCGCCGTTCAAACTTTCGACCCTGTCTTATTAGTACAACAATACAATATCCATTGCTTTTCCTCAACATATATTGGAAATGTTTTAAAAAATATGATATCATTAGGTGGAAAGATTACAATAATACAAAATGAATCAATGATTTTATAATTATTTATATTAATTTTCTTCTTCTTCTTATTTTATCATTATTGATCTACTTTTGTATTATTATGATTTTCAATATAACTATATATGTTATATATTTTTTTAACTATTCAGATTCAAATATATATATATATTTATATTGAAACTGCAAATTATATTATTCCCTATCATGTTTCTTCTCCTTCCTTTCAAAAACCTCGAGCCCCGAGTGAGTCTATATCTATTTTCCACTCTTTCAAACTTTCAACGTTCAACGTTCAAAACAATAACCCTAGCACACGCACACAACCAAACGAAACCAAATACTGAAAGCAAACCTTCATTATTTTTTATTAATTTTTATGCTTTGTTTGAAACATTCTCTATAAACTATTCATTCCTCTTACCTAGCTTTGACCCGCGTACCACACACCAAGCACCTCTCCATCTATCCTTGTATATATAAAACAAGCCACAAGACCTTGTTTCCCTCATAACATATCCTTCATCATTACATAACACATATTCATATATATCTACCCAAAACATTAAACACACAGGAACGAACAATCAAAGACAAATAGCAAAATGGTTTTGTCATGGACAAAAGGGAGAGTTTTCCGCCGTGGCCGAAAAGGGATTAAAGAATTGAATTCCGGTGGTGATTTGGAGGTGGAGGTTGCGATGCCCACCCATTTCCGGTGCCCGGTCACTCTGGACTTGATGAAAGACCCGGTGACACTGTCCACGGGTATAACCTACGACAGAGACAGCATCGAGAAGTGGTTCGAGGCAGGGAACCACACGTGCCCGGTTACCAAGAGGGACCTCGCCAGCTTCGACATGATCCCAAACCATGCCCTTCGTAGGATGATTCAGGATTGGTGCGTCGAGCACCGTTCATTCGGGGTCGAAAGGATCCCCACTCCTCGGATACCCGTCACTCCGTACGAGGTTTCTGACACGTGCACGAGGATCATGTTGGCTTCTCAAAACGGGGACGAAAACAGGTGCCGTGAATTGGTGCATAAGATAAAGGCTTGGGGGAAAGAGAGTGAGAGGAACAAGAGGTGCATAGTTGCCAACGGTGCTCCACTTGTTCTGGCCAGTGCCTTTGATTCTTTCTCACGTGGCTCGGTTGAGAAAAACGTGGTCGTTTTGGAGGAGATCTTAGGGGTGTTGACATGGATGCGCCCTATTGGGGAAGAGGGTAGATCCATGTTGGGGTCAGCACCTTCTATGAGTTGCATGGTTTGGTTCCTAAATGGTAAACAAATCTCCGCAAGGCAAAATGCTGCTTTGTTGCTCAAGGAAATGCCTATTGAGGCATTGGCAAAAACTGAAGGGGTTGTTGAAGGTTTGGTTAACATGATTAGGGAGCCTATTGGACCTTCTGTTACCAAGTCATGCTTGTTAATGATTTTTCACTTGGTTTCCTCATCAGAGAATAAAGACTTAATCTCACAAAGATTTGTGGAATTGGGTTTGGCTTCGCTCGTGCTTGAGGCTATTGTTGATGCTGAAAGAGGGATCTGCGAGAAAGGTTTGGGGGTGTTGGATTGCATTTGTGAGCGAAAACAAGGGATGGAAATAGCAAAGTCAAATGCTCTGATTTTGCCTCTTGTTATTAAGAAGCTTTTGAGGGTGTCCGAGTTGAGTTCTACTTTTGCAGTCTCTATTCTTTGGAAGCTATGTGACAAGACCGACGAAAGGATCTTGATTGAGGCACTTCAAGTGGGTGCCTTTCAGAAACTTCTTGTTCTGTTGCAGGTGGGTTGTGGTGAGGACACAAAGGAGAAGGCTACCGAGTTGTTGAGGTTGTTGAATGGTTACAGGAGCAAAGCAGATTGTGTTGATTCCTCATTGGATTTCAAGCACCTTAAGAAGCCCTTCTGATTGATCCATGAGGATGATATTTAATTTCCCTTTTTTTCTTCTTTTTTTGTATAGGTCATTTCATAGAAACAGACACAATACACTATTGTACGAAGACACATGTACAGTAACGTACAAAAGATACAAATTGTATTTCTAACATTCAATTGAAGTTTTGAAATTCATTTTTCTGAAATTTGAGATATGAGACATCCAAAGATGCTACAAGGTTGTCATGTTTAGCTTTTTGACACTTCAAATTCACATATTCGGAACTATAATTACAGTAAAAAAAGAAAATTGTTTCGGTGGATTTTGCAAACGGGAGATTAATTGTCGTTGAGGAATCAAGTGTCCGTTGAGGAATTCCGAAAGCAACTACAACGAAATTGATAAATTATAGCTAGCAATCTAAGATATTTGATCCAAAGGAAGATATAGGGTAGCTGGGGGTTAGAGTAAACAAATAATTGGAAGCAGACATACAAATAAACTATTAAGAGACAAAAATATAATTTTCTTCTTCTTCTAACAAACAGATTATGTAGGTCTGGGGAAAAAAAGACGAGCGTGTAGATCAGTTAGGGGCTGATTTTCCTAGAAATTCTGGGAAAGTGAAATGGGGGTAAATTTGTTTCCAACATTTGGTCAGAGGAAACTGAAAAAAAATTTAGAAAATTTTTTTTTCCATCATTTCATTTTACATATCATATTCCCAATTCCGAAATGAAAATATTATAATATTTTTATTTTCTCATAGTACAATTAACCCAATAATTTTGAAAAAAAATTAGACCTACCAAATACTTTTTCTTAACTTATCTGAGAAAAAAATTTCTCACCATATTTCTGAAAATTTATTTTTTCAGATAAAAAAAATATCGCCTTTACTAAACTTCAGAATGAAGGAAGTACAATTTGGCTCAATAGGAAAAGAGACAACTAATTATGACTTGGTCTTAAAATAGTTGGGTTGGAGGTGGATTCTCAGTCCAACTTGGTTGCAGAATGCCAGAGTGGATATTAAAGTCCAATGAAGAAGGCACGAACTATGGTCAAATAAGATCACGGCACACGTGCTTATGGTATGGTTGAGCTGAAGTATATGCCTTGGTCTGGGCTTGACCTGGTTTACAAGCCTTACTGTAAGCTCATGTTACCGAGATAGAAGTTTGTGGCCTAGCCCATTAGCTTCCTTCAACCTTATTTATAACTAAAACAACTATAACATGTATCCGAAAAAAAAAAAAAAAAAACAACTATAACAGCCAAAGTTCACAAAAAAAAGAGTTTGCACGTAATGTATGTGCACAGTTTTAATCATTTTAAAAAATTATAAAAATATTATTTAAATTTTTTTTTTTTTTTTTGGTACATATTATTATTTAAAATTTTACATGTGAGCTACTTGCATGCGAACCTTGGATCCCATTGTATTGGGAGTATCCAAACTGGCGTGGACTAACTCAAGTTGCTTAAAATAAAATCCGTCAGGGAAGTGAGTTCCACCTTCATAGTGGAAATTAGGGGAGTCAAGGGTCTCTGAAAAAATTATAAATCTCACATGATTATTTAGATACGTAGTATTGCTTTCTTTGAATTAATATTACAAGGATTGTTATAAAAATGTTATATGGTTTCCAAAAAGTCTTGAAAAATTTAGGTGAGTATTTAACAAAAGAGCTGTGCTACTTGCATATGTAGTAAGCAAGAACCTCACAGTTGGAGTATTTTAATAGTTTCAGTAGTAACTCTCTCTCTCTTTTGGAAGCACTGAGCGAAATTTAAAATATTGATGCGTGTTACATACATATTTGCTTCTTCGTTTTTGCAAATATATTTCCCGTAAAAAAATTACATGTTTTCCCAAATATTGAAATATTATGTGACCGCTTACAATTATAGTTCAGGATGTGTCACTAATGATAGTGAAGTCCTTTTAATGATCTGACAACAATAAGCAGGTAATAATGAAAATTTCACATTTATAAAGTATTAAATTTAAATGTAATTATTCTCTTCCTATACCAGCTCTTGGTTCATCGCAGTTGTAAAACAAAATCACATTTAAGTAAAGCCACTCCAACCACGAGATGTGGCCATTTCTGCAAATTGTATCTATATGAGTTTGAAACTCATTAAAAGTATCTTGTAACCAGAATTAAATTGATGGCATTAGTAATACACTCAAAATGTAAAAAGAAGTTAAAAAGGCCAGGATGAGGGGCTTCCCAATTGTATTCATCATTTTACGAATTAATCAGTGCTAATATAAATGTTCTAAATTACAATTTATTAATTATTGACGTCTTAAGGGAAAAAATAACAATAAACAACACGTGAACTAAGAACAACTTAAAATGTTGACTATAACAAATCCGAGATCGGTCACTAAAACTTTGTTGACTTTATAGAATGCCCCCTTTTAATGCTTCCCACTAAGAACATTTCCCCCCTCCCTGTCACTCTAATTGTATATATTAATTATTTGAAAAGACTTCTTGCTTCAAATAAGAAAGAACTACAACTAAAACCATCTTCATCTTATGATGAAATAAGCACGAAAATTACAAATTTAATAAAATATCATATTAAAAATTTAAAAGAGATAGATTCTCGCAACTTGCTTATGGAAGTCAATGAATGATATGTATCATGCATGTGAGTTCTTACCTTACCGGGTCTCAAGCGGGATTTTTTACTTCCTCTTTGGGCATAGGAATCTTGTGTGCATGTCGTGCATGCAATTTGCAACCCCTACCATAGAAAATGCTATTCGTATTGCAGAAAGAACACTAGAATACTCATCCACAAGTTAAAAAAAAAAAACCCACCATCAGTGAAAACCTTCCCCACAAGCCCAAAACTCAAGTAACGTGGCCGGTACTGTTGACTTTCTTCAATCTCCATTCATTGCTCAGAAAAGTCACAACATTAAACAATCAAATTAAAATGATCTCGAAACCTGCACATATATATAAAAATGGATCGCTTCAAAGCTAAGTGACCACCACATTTGAGTTATGAATACTCCACCAAAGAAGAAGAAACCGATAAATCTTTTTCATTTTCCAATGGATTCACATAATCCAAAAACCAATCTCCTCTTCATTTCCCTCCTTTTATTCACAAACCTCCTCACATTGTTCTTTTCCTCCACCTTCTATTCCTCCTCATGCAATCCCAATTTCTCAACCACCACCGCCGCCGCCGTATCCTCCGCCGCCGAAGACAAAAACCTACCACCGGAATTCCTGGCTTCCACGTCAGGACAGCGGCTCCCGCTGGGCTTCAACAAGAACTTCGACTCCGACACCATCAACCCTGCCGCCGGCAAATCCTGCGCCCTCTTCCCCGCCGAGATCCGCCGCTATATGTCCTACGATGTCAACGGTTCTTGCCCTGACGACGAGGTTCTTGCACAGAAGCTCCTCCTCAAGGGTTGCGAGCCGCTCCCGCGCCGCCGCTGTCGGCCGGCGGCGCAGTCTGACTACCCTCCGCCGTTCCCCCTCCCAAAAAGCCAGTGGACCACCCCCTCCGACCGGTCCGTCGTGTGGACCGCTTACACGTGCAAATCGTACGCGTGCCTCATCAACCGGAAGAACCAGAAGAGCTTCGACGACTGCAAGGACTGCTTCGATCTCCATTTCCGCGAGAAGAACCGTTGGATGCACCACAAATCGGAAGGACTCGATTTAAGCATCGACGACGTTATGGCGACCCGAAAACCCGGTACGATTCGGATCGGGTTGGACATAGGGGGCGGAGTGGCTACATTCGCGGTTAGAATGAGAGAAAGGAACGTGACGATCGTGACGACGTCGTTGAACTTAAATGGGCCTTTCAACAGCTTCATAGCAGCTCGAGGGGTTGTGCCTTTATACATGAGCATATCTCAGAGGCTTCCGTTTTTCGATAACACGTTGGATATCGTTCATTCGATGCATGTTTTGAGTAATTGGATTCCTGAGACGTTGCTTCAGTTTTTGTTGTTTGATGTGTATAGGGTTTTGAGGCCCGGTGGGTTGTTTTGGTTGGACCATTTTTTCTGTGTTGGGGATCAGTTAGAGAAGGTTTATGGGCCCATGATTCAGAATGTTGGGTTCAAGAAGGTTAAGTGGGTCACTGGGAGGAAACTTGATAGGTCACCTGACCTTAAGGAAATGTACCTCTCTGCTTTGTTGGAGAAGCCATCCAAGAACTCTTGGTGACTTCTTTTTCATTTTTCATTTTTTTACCTTTAATTTGTTGTTCTCCTCCTTTTCTGGTCATTTCATGTTTTGAGTATTCTTTCTCAAGCACAATCCAAGGCACTGAGTTTGTCTAATCTCTCTTTCTGGTTCACTTCTTTTAACTTAGTTGACTCATGATTTAGATTTTACTCTCCAAAACAGCTTTTATTGCTCCCCATAAAAAAAAAAAAACGAATGATTTGTCTCAACTTTGTTGACTTTTTTTAATATATATATATATTGTGAATAAGTCCGGGCAAGGATGCCATATTAAACACCTTGTGATGTACTGATAGACACCTTCAAATAAGATTACAGGAGAGTGTTACATGACCCTCATATCTAATTTCAAAATTATATATCAGAGGGAATATGGTTTCTCGTGTAAGGTAAATTGTTTTATGCAATACATAAAAAGATAAATGGGATTCATTACAAAATAAATAAATAAGTGTATCTCATTCACTTTTTTATGTGTTGCATGAAATAAATTGTTTCATATAACACGAGAAACTATATCCCTTATATTGAATTAGTTTCTAGCTTTCTTTAATTATATTGTTATTGAAAATGGGGTTATTTGAAGTTAATTTAATTTAATTTTTCGTATTTCTTCTATATATGATCAATTAGTTTCTTCTGGATCTGATTTTTATCTTAAACGTGAGAACCTTGCTACACTTATAATTTAGATTCTTCTATTAGTTTCCATTTTAATAGCTAGATGACAGGTAAAACCAATATTATTCAAAACTTTTTTTTTCTTTCAAAAAACAAATTATGATATATAATACATAAATCCCTATCATGTGAAATATTCAAGTCTTACATGATTATTCTCTCTATTCTTAAAAGCATATGTCTCGTATTGTTAATTTTTATTAACAGAAAGTTTCACAAAGCTATTTAAATATATTAGAAGGCAAGAGGTGGGAGTAGTGCTCTGTTTATTTTGTTAAGGTAACTGTTTTTTTTGTCAAATATGACTTTCAAAATTGACGATAATTAATAAACCGATCATCTCTCTATTTTTCAAATAATAAATCCGTATACAATGTATAGCATTTGCTGAAGCCAATTTAGTTTTTAGATGAAAAACTAAACCCAAACTTTATAAATAAAATATTTTATGCTTATAAGCTAAATTAATCTTCATAGTAAGTATCAAGACATATTTTTAAAGAGAGTTATTAATGTAATGGAATAACAACTCTTTTTCTTATTTCTTATAAAAAAATAATTACCTTAATTTTGGTTCAAACGCTGAGTCAATCACTTAGTGTGGTTCTTTTCTCATGCTTTTTCTTTTGTGGGTTCTTTTTCCATTTCTCAGGCTTAAAAGAAGGGAAGTGATTCTTTTTTTATTTTATTTTTTTCTTCCGAATTTCTTAGTGGGCTTAATTGGACTGGCCCATTATGACTTACCCAAAGAATTTTCTTCTTCTCTCAGAGTCTCACTGTCCTGTGTGTGTACAACCCCAAAAAACAACTACAAGTCAACAATTTTCAATCACATTTTAGTTTTTCCTTTCTATGCTGAAATCGAGAACATCAACTTTGGACTCATCCCAGAAAAAAAAAAAAAAACCTTGTCTATATGTCTCTTCTTCTTCCTTTAAGCCTTTTCTTTTTCCCTCCCTGTATTGTATTCTGCCATATAATGTCCAGTACACTGCATATGTTGTGCATGAGATGGCTGCGCTATTGGTTCTTCCATGTATTGGTGTTTCTCATCAAAATTCACTCTCTTTTTCTCATGGGAATGTGTTTGCAAGGTAAATCGAAATCTTAAAATTTGTATCTATGTTTCAATTGTTGCTAGCAGAATGCATACTATGGGTAATAGAAATAGGTTAGCTCATTAATGTTCCATGGATGCTAGGCATGCAGAAGAATTAGTGTTGCATTAGCTGGATTAATCATTTTTATTTTTTTTGGAAAATTCAGGGTATTATGAAAAATGGAAACTTTGTCTATTTAGGTTTGGGATTGTCAGAGACTTAGAAACCTATTTCATTAATACTAGACTGGTAAATATTGAAGTTTAGTGTGTGTGTGTGTGTGTGTGTGTGTGTGTGTGTGTTTTGAATAAAGATGGAAGTCTCTCTGTTGGCTTCCTCTGATAAGGTTGAAATTGGCTGAGAAAATCATCATAAACCCCTAGGTATTTTTGTCTATTGTTAGACTTGGTGGTTACATTCAGATGTGTCACCTTTTTTCCTTATACTCTCTATCTAAATAAATATTTACATCAGTGAAATGGCTCATTCTGGATTTTATAATATCTTTCTAAGGAAGGATAGTAATTGTGGTCATAAAGATGAATCATAATTCTGCTATTGACAATTTTTGTTGATTCACGAGACTGACCAATGTCATTGAAAAATAAACACCTGTCCTGCATTTCACAAATGAAGTTGAGCACAAATGCATCGGTTTCATCTGTGTAGTCTTCGCTGTATTTGTTTGTCGTACTTCACTGCTTGTATGAACTCATTCTAGATCAGAAAGCAAGCATCCTTTTGGAACGGTCGAATTCTAGGGTAACCCTATCTTCATAAATAAACACCTGTCCTAGCATTTCAAAAATAAGAAAAAGAAGTTGAGTGCATACACTTCGGTTTCGTGTGTGGAGTCTTTGCTGTATTTATTTGTCTTCACTTAATATATGAACTCATTCTAGATCAGAAAGTAAGCATTCTATTGGAACGCTTTATTTCTAAGGTAACCCTTTCTTCACAAATAAACACTTGTCCTAGCATTTCAAAAATAAGAAAAAACAAGTTGAGCGCAAACGCTTCGGTTTCGTCTGTGGAGTCTTTGCTGTATTTATTTGTCTTCACTTAGTATATGAACTCATTCTATATCAGAAAGTAAGCATCCTAACATAACGGCTGAATTCTAGGTAACTCTTTCTTCCTTTCTCCTTTGCTTCTTGTCTACCAGATTCATCATCAAATTGAATCTAAAAATCCTCCTTAAACATCTTCTCATTCTGAAATATAAAACTAATTTTCAATTTTGATATGCATGTAGGAAAAGATGAGTGTTTCTTCCTCCAGAGAAGGTAACAAGGTATGTTGACCAGAAAAATTTTACCTGTACATTTTCTACATGTTAAATTAAGCAGTATTTAGAAAATACATAATATTTTTTGGTTTCTTAGTCATTCTTTTTGAGAGGGTGAGTCTGGAGTAGTGGCAAAGCTACTCCAAGGTGATCGAGAGGTCACAGATTCGAATTCAAGAAAAAACCTCTTTGCATAATGCAAAACGTACAAGGATTTCCTTCACCCCTACCCTCACAAGTCGGGGTTTCATAGGGAGTGATTTCTTAATCATTCTTTCTACATTTCCCTTTTAACAAAATTTCTGTAAATAGAATCTGGTGAGAAGACAAATTGTTATTTTGATAAGTGTAAGCTCTTTTACCCTCTATGTAAATTCGTTGTTTATGGTTAGTTCTTCTCATCAAGAATTTATAAAGCACATACTATTTCTGTTGCCTGGTAAACCATAAAAAAAGGCGAACCATATCAATCCTATTTTAGTTTTTTTTTTAAATGCAATTAAATTAATGTTTAGTCAAAGAAGCGGCTAGGAATGACCAAAATACTGAAGATTTGGTTTCTGTGTTTTATATGCTTCAAAATCAAGATTAAATTAGTAAAATTGAAAGAAACCTGGAAATGGATGAGTCTCAGAGATAACAAAACCGTAAGAGTTCTTAATTAGTTGGCTAATATAATTTTTCATGCATTTGGTCGAAATGATAACCGCACAATTTTTAATTTTTTGACTTTGGTTACAGTTTATCTTTTGTTGCATTTGAATAAGGAACACTCGCAAGCATAGATAGAAAGTATTATTGAAATTAAACATCTTTAATCATGAGCTACTTTGCTGTATAGATTTCATTGAACCTGATCTTTTTTGACTTCTAGGTTGCTTTACACTCTTTTTATTCATCTTTATATGATTTTACGCAGAACATTTGTTGCGTGAAATAAACTACTACAATCATATCTTATTGTATCTTTGAAAATCTTAAAGATTTTCGTCATTTTGGTTCTGCTTGCATTAATATCTTCATACAGTCAATTATGTTTGAAGCCAGAGTGCTAAGCCACTAAATCGAACTAATTTCTTTCCAAACTCACCCTGTAAACATACTTAATTCTCTAGCTATAGTTGTTGTCTTGTTCTGCTTTAAACCACAAGGAGTTCTGGCATTTAATATCATTCAAGATCATATTTACTTATATTAACTGAAGAAGCAAGTAGCAATAGGAAATACGGTATCAATTTTGGTTGGCCTATAATTTAGAAATAATAGATTATCTTTATTTGTTACTGCCTCATATGTACTGGTTTTTGCTTTCGCAACGGTGCAAGGAAATACGGAAAAACGACAAAGTGGGTTTGAACACATTGATGCATCAAAATGTGATGACGTCCTTTTCGAACCACAATGTGCCAGAATTTATGCTGGACGGCCGCCTTTTGGGGGAAAAGGAAAATAAAAATAAAATAACTGATGAAAATTAACAAGGAGATGGAAGGATAAACAGTGATGAGATTAACATTGGTTTCTTTCTGTAACTTTCAGTATAAACTTACCTGACGTGGTTTACTTTGTAGGATGAGCAAGAGGCCCAATCTGAAGCCTGCAAGCCAAGGTGGCTTGAGGATTTTCTGGAAAATACTTTCTTTGACTCATGTACAGCTCATCCATGTCGTAGGAATGAGCTAAATAAATACTGTATAAACTGCAATATGTCACTTTGCCAATATTGTGTATCATCAGGTCCTCATCGCCATCACAAGATACTTAAAATCTATAGACATGTTTACAAAGATGTCGTCTCCCTTGCTGCTATGGAAAAATATGTTGACTGCTCACAAATCCAGGTACGATATGATATCTTACCTTTGACTTAAAGTTCTGGCTAAATATTTTATGTTTAGCATTCAAAACTTATGTGATTCAGTGCACATTTCTGTGTTTTTGTGAATTTGTTTGCTAATCTAATATTAGTTGATTATATCCCCATGGAGAAGTTGTAGGAGATCATGATCTCTTCTAAGTCTTGATTGTGTATCTTGTGAAATGCAACAAAAAAACAGGTTACGGGCATAGCGGAAAATGGTTTAAATGCATTATTGATTTTCCTTTTTGTTCTGTTATTAAGTGATACTCTTTCATAGCATAACTTGACTAGCTTTACCTCAAAGTGATTATTGTTAGTGCTATATAAAATATTTCATTTTTTTTGTGTTATTTGACCTTGAAATAAATTTGAGATCAATGATTATAAACAATTTGGATCAATACAGTAGTGGCATGAAAAGTTGTAACAGAGATATAATAATGCGCTGTAAAATGAATAAATGTTTTTCTAATTGTGTGCTAGATTTTCTAGCTTATATTCTCCTGTGGTGATCATTCCCAAGGCTATTCCATTACTTGTCTTTGCCCTGTTTTCTTCCATGGAATATCAGCTAAAATAAAACCAGATCAGTTGGTCACATTAGCAAAATAAGTGTTCAAATCAAATCACATATCTAAAATATTCTGATGGAAAAACTAGTACAAAATTTTGCATTCTTTATTGTTAATTAGACAACCTAGTATTAACTCTATCTCTCTAAGTGGTGTGTATGTCTCAATACACCTTAACTATCCTTACTGTAGTTTTGTATGCCTAAAAAATTTAAATATTGGGTTCAGAAAATTGATTCTTCTCAACCAAATTCTTTACTATGTGTCTGGATTTGATCCCTCTTTGGTTGCAGCCCTACAAATGCAACAAGCGACTAGTTATTTCTCTGAATCCTCTCCCGCACTGTGGTTCAGCATTAAATAATGAGGCAACATGCAACATCTGCAGTAGAAAGTTGACTGAACCCGATTTATATCGCTACTGCTCTATTTCTTGCAAGGTGATGACTATAATTTGACAATCACAAGCTCACAACAGTTTGTTGTCCCCCTCATCACACTCCTACTATTTATTTGAGCTTTATAGTTTGTATTTCTTGACTTTTCTTAATCTGAACTTTCAGGTCAAAGCTTTTTTAAGAAAGCCTGATGATTCAGTTCCTCCCTTTATTTCCATCCAGAGTCCTCCTCAGGAAAAACAGGAGGAAACTTCTCCTCCCTTTATTTCCATCAAGAGTCCTCCTCAGGAAACACAGGATGAAACTTCTGCCTTTATTCCCATCAAGTTTCCTCCTGAGGAAACACAGGAGGAAACTTCTCCTTTTATTTCCATCCAGAGCCCTCCTCAGGAAACACAGGAGGTAACTTCTGAACCCCCAAAGCGAAAAAGGAAAAGAAAGGGAACACCCCGCAGAGCTCCCTTCTTCTAAGAGCCTCAAGTTGGTCACTTATCCTTAGATGGTTTCAATATGCAGGAGTGGAAGAAGTTACTTCATAAAGTTTGTGTAATCAAGACGGTGAATGTATTAGTCATGTTGTCATGAAGAACTGAAATATTCTAAATTCTTGTCTTTCGTGGCTTGTAATTCCTTATTATCATGGGACACTACATCATGATGTTTTATATCATATCCAGCTTTGTTGTTTTGTTATTGGTGCTTTTTATTTTGGGTGGGGTGTTTGATAATTGAAACCAGAGAATCAACGGTAATAAATTATCCTTCTGACACTTAGGACCTGTAGTGCACTCTTAACACCCTGTATAATAACATCACTAGTTATGTTTGCATATGATGGTTACAGTGCTCTTGCATTTTAAAGAAATAGAATGTGAGTTGACCGAATGATTGAGTAGACTTAAAAGTCTTACGATTTCACAATTTTGAAAAAATTAGTTAAGGTCGAGAAAATAATAGAGATGTGGTCATGGTAATCTCAGATACTTCTTAGATGTAGTTTTGTTGAGGTAATGGGAAATGTTGGAACACGTTTTGCTTCATGTTTGATGGAATCAAAGCGAGTTTAGTGATCAGTTTCCTTTTATTATTGTGAAAACTTGAGGTTGATCCTAGTACAAAGCTTATTTGCTTATCATTTTTTCTGCCCTTATTATGTACATGGATACATACCCATTTGGTACTGATTTGATAAGATTGAAATTCTCTGTGATCGGATATAAAGTGCCTACAATCGACACAAGCATGCTAGTCTTTCTGCACGAGCTTTGCCTACTTTTTGGCTCCCTTAATACTGCATTTTTGTGTACATGTGTGTGGGACATCAATTGACATCTTCATCCTTTTAAGGTCAATTAGAAAAGGCTTCCACAACGAGAATAGAAAAAATGATCTTGGAAAAGTAGCTTCTTGTAATGAGTTCGAGAGTGCTTGATTTGGATTAGTTGGGTAATCACAATAAATATATCCAAAAACATAAAAACTTCCCAAGATGGAAACACGAGGATTTGTCCAGTCAACTTTTTAGTTAGGTGGAAATGCCAATACCAAGAATGTGTTTGGGTGAGCATTTACAAACTTGATCTTGGATGGTTTTAGTTTGATAAAATTGATTTTGATTAAAATTGAATTCAAAGTGAAATTGATTAATGTTTGGATACTTGTCTGAAATTAATCTTGATAGAATAAATCTTTTCACGAAATATTTAACTCAACATAAAAGCTTCATTTTATCACTTAACAGTCGAAATAGGTTTAGCGACAAAAGCAATTTAGGACGAAACATAAAAATAATAAATAAAATCACGTTTTGTTGAACTAAACAGGAGTTTGAAGCATCCCTACATAAATTCAAACATTCTAGGCTTCCACTCTAAAACAAATTTAGCACCATGCCAATTTCCTTGACCGAAAGGGTTGAACTAAACTTTGATCACTGACTTTGAGGAGCAATTATCCATGAATATCACACTGGGAGTAATATCACACTGGATTTTCAACCTTCAAGATCTGGACCGTTAATATATTGGGCCTCTAATATTGATCCATAACGGTAAAGTCTCATCTTCATTACTATTTATTTTTATTTTTTTTGGATATTATTACTATTTATTTTTATCTTAATAAAAATAAAAATACAAATTCACATGTAGTTAGTAATACATGTAAAGACTTATTTCAATCTTCATGAGTGAAAGAGTTTTTTAAAAAGTTTAAAAGATTGTCTTCTATAATATAACTCATACTAATTAAAAAAAAATAACTCATACCAAGAAAAGGAAATTAGAATTTCTCCAAATCTAATGCCATCTGATGATTCATATTTTTTTAGAACGAATTATAATACAAAGGGGATTTCCTACTTTGGTGTGTTTAAGTTTTTTTTTTTTGTAAAACTATCATTATTAATTACTTATTTAAAAATTTAAATATAAATACAAAAAAATAGAATTGTAAACATTTTATGAGACTAGTTTAAAAATTTAAAGATAAATAAAAAAATAAATTATGAATACTGCTTAGTGCTTACTCTTCAACTACAATTATAAATATTTGTCAAATTTTCATTATATAATAAAAAATTACTTCCACAAATTTTTATAATTATTTAAATACTAGCCAATACACGTAATGTAGAGAAATTGGAATCAATTTCTAAGATGCATTATCAATGCAACGATGTTGGGTCTATTTTGTGGACTAAGCACCACACTTTATTCACTGAAGAACACTCACCAACGTCAACAACACCATGCGTGATTGCGTGAACTGGTCCCTCTTGCAAAGACTATGACTGATTCATCCCCTATTGCAAGACTATGATAGTGACCCTTCTTTCGTTCACAAGATTGCTGTTTTGCTAGCTGTCTCTTTGCGACATTTATCTTCAACCTTACTATAACTTAAAAAGTTTTGCGACATTTATAATATTTACGTGAATATAATTTTAAGTAACAAATGACTATATTCAGAGCAATGCTACAACTGATAACACATCAGTCAAATGCTGTAAACTTAGCGGGGCCATGCAGAAATTTACTTGAAAAAGGGTATTCTGATATATATTAGAATTGTAAATAATGTGTACAAGAGATTCTCTATTTATAGAGAATATGTGACCTACTTTTAACCTAAAGGCCTTGGCCCAATACAACAAAGGGCTTGGCCCAATACAACAATAAACTAAATAATAACTAAATCAATATTATTTACAACACTCCCCCTCAAGTTGAGGAATAGATATTTATCATTCCCAGCTTGCTAGTAAGTTCTTGAAATCTGTCTGAAGGAAGCCCCTTTGTTAATAGATCAGCTAATTGACGCCCAGTGGGAATGTATGGAGTGGTAACCAACCCGCTATCAAGTTTCTCTTTGATGAAATGGCGGTCGACCTCAATATGTTTAGTCCGATCATGTTGAACTGGATTATGAGCTATACAAATAGCGGACTTATTATCACATAGCAGCTTCATAGGTCCCTCACATTTTATTTTGAGATCATCAAGTACAATTTCCAGCCACAGTAACTCACAAATGCCTTGAGCCATAGCTCGAAATCCAGCTTCTGCACTTGATCTGGCAACCACATCTTGTTTCTTACTTCTCCATGTCACCAAGTTACCGCAAAGAAACATGCAATAACCAGTGGTAGAACGACGGTCAGTCATGGATCCAGCATAATCAGCATCTGTGTAGACTTCTAAAGATAGATTGCCATCACGTCGGAATAACAATCCTTTACCAGGAGTACCTTTAAGATACTGAAGAATTCTCTCTACAGCCTGCATGTGTTTTTCCTTTGGATTGTGCATAAACTGACTGACAACACTAACAGCATAAGCTAGGTCTGGTCTAGTATGGGCCAGATATATCAATTTCCCAACTAGCCGTTGATATTGTCCTTTATCAACTGGAGGACTCTCTTCTTCATAGCCCATCTTGTGATTCTGCTCAATAGGAGTATTAGAGGGTTTACACCCGAGCTTTCCTGCTTCTTTGAGAAGATCAAGAACATATTTCCTTTGGCTGATAAAAATTCCTTTGCTTGAATGAGCTACTTCTATCCCTAGGAAATATCTCAGTTTTCCAAGGTCTTTGACTTCGAACTCAGAGGCAAGCCGTGTCTGCAGAATCTGTCTCTCCACAAAATCATTACCTGTGATAATAATATCATCAACATATACAAGGAGCACAGTAAGCTTCCCGTTTTGGGAGTGCTTGAAGAAAAGAGTGTGATCTCCTTGACTCTGTCTATATCCTAAGGTCATCATAACCTTAGTAAACCTCCCAAACCAAGCACGAGGTGATTGCTTCAATCCATACAAGGCCTTTTTTAATCGACAAACTTTATTTTCCCCCTTCACAGAATCAAAACCAGGCGGGATTTCCATGTAGACTTCTTCTTCTAACTCACCATTGAGGAAAGCATTTTTCACATCAAATTGATTTATATCCCAATTGTAATGGGCAGCAAGGGACAACAAGATTCTCACTGTATTCATTTTTGCAACTGGAGCAAAGGTTTCTTCATAATCAATGCCATAGGTTTGAGTGTAACCTTTGGCGACTAATCGAGCCTTGTATCTCTCAAGAGTGCCATCAGAATTATATTTTAGGGTATAAACCCATCTGCACCCTACTGCTTTCTTTCCGTTGGGTCTATCAATAACCTCCCATGTTTTATTTTTCTCCAATGCATTCATCTCTTCTTGCATGGCTTGAGCCCAATTCCCATCTCTCAAAGCTTCATGTACTGATTTTGGGATTGAAGTAGAATCTAGTGCTGAAACAAAGCTTTTGTGCTGCACAGAAAGATTAGCAGAGGAAACAAAATGGGAGATAGGGTATTGAGTACAAGAGGGACAGGAAGAACAAGATTTCTTGGAACAAGATCTTTTTCCTTTTGTTAAAGCAATGGGTAAATCATCAGAAGCAGTAGTAATGGGTAAGTCATCAGAAGTATCATGATCAGAAATATGAGATTCAGGACTTACCAGTGGTTCAGACAATTGAGGTTGCTGTTGAGGCAATGTGGGCTGTTTCCTTCTTTGATATACCAATTCAGGTGTTACAATCTTCCGTATCTCTTGTGTACTTGATGTATCAGTCATCGGAGGATCAGTCACAGACACATTAGGAACAGGAACAAGAGGAAGAAACACTGACACAGGTGAAGGAGTAGACACTGAAGTTTCAAAGAAGGAAGGTGATGAGTCTTCTGGTGAATCATTCTCCCCCTGAAGATGAGGACCTTGGAAAAAGGACTCAGATTCCTGAAATGTAACATCCATAGAAACAAAAAATTTCCGACTTCCAGGGTGATAACACTTGTAGCCCTTCTTATCAGGAGCATATCCAAGGAAGACACATTTAAAAGCCCTAGGATCCAACTTACTGCGATGCTGTTTATGAATATGAACAAAGACAACACATCCAAACACTCGAGGAGGAAGACTTTGCAAAGTTGGAATAGAAGAAAAAAAGGAAGTCATGGAATGAATAGGACTTACATGATCGAGAACCCGAGTGGGTAGACGATTGATCAAGAATGCTGCAGTAAGAATGGCATCTCCCCAATAGCATTTGGGTACATGTGTTTGAAACAATAAGGCACGAGCAACTTCAAGAAGGTGACGATTTTTCCTTTCAGCAACCCCATTTTGTTGAGGGGTGTC